TCGTCGAAAAAATTACTCAATTTATGTTCAAGGAATTTTTCATGCCGATAATTCATGGTTTCTCGACGTTGTTTAATGGCTTGTCTCAATGAATTAGGACATGTTTGTAAAATTTTTTCTTCAAAATCGATCAATAATTGTTGATGACCACGTCGAATATTTTCCATCGTATTTAAATTTAAAGATATTAAATCAAATTTATATTGTGTAATTGTTTTTGAATAATTTGATATTAATCCAGCACGTCGATCTTTGTCAAGAACAGAATTTGACAGCATCGGTTGAATATGATCCATAGAACAATCAATCATTTTATCAATATGATTTGGTAAACGTCGTAAAAAAATTCTTTGTCGAAGTATTTCTATTTGTTCTTTTGTTCTTAGTTCATTTGCTACAATTTGCCAATATCGTTTTGCTAAACGAATCTATATAGAATACATACAGAAATAAACAAATGTAATAGATTGATTAATTTAAAACAAACAAAAAAAAAACAGACCTGTTCTTGATTTGGTTGTAAATTATAAAAATATTTGATTGAACGACGATCATTCAGATCAAGTTGTGCTATATCTATTCTATACTGAAACTCTTTTCTTAAACGTTGTTGAGCTTTCGTGATACAATTAGTAACTGTCCGTAATAAGAGATCGAGCTCAATATTAGGTTGCCATTCAAGAGTATGTTGTTGTAAATAGATTGCACATTCTTCTAATTGATTCCTCGTACGTTGTATTTGATGTACAATTGTTTTTTGTCGTTTTTCAATGAGATGTTTTGGAAAATAATAGGTTGAATATTTCTTTACTTGATTTGAATCGATAGTCGTAGTTGCAGTTAATTCGGATGTTGACCATATATTTTCTTGAATACCAAGATTATAGTAACCTTGCCATAAATTTTCTTGTAATTGAAAATAATGTAAATCGTTCATGATTTCTGTTATTTGACGAATTGCTTGAAGTTTTTCATCCGTATTTAAACATTGAACAATTTTATTACCATCTTCAATGGCATTCGATAACATCTGTTTAAATATTCGATTAGATACTTGTAAATATTTTGGTTTAAATTTTTGTAAACAATTAATCATTGGAAAAAACATCGTATATTCTTCTTTGTCTACATTATCTATATCTCCTCCGTCTTCTTCTTCTTGATAATTATTTTTATCATGCGACACTTCTTTGGAAATTCTATTCACTGATTGATCATTCTTGTCAATAATTGCCATTGATATGGTAGTGGTAGTGGTGGTAGTGTTTAATTTTTGTCTCTTTGCTTGCATTTCTTGTGATATTGATAATTGACTCAATGATTGATTGATATGTTGCTCGTTTTGATTTCTATGTTGACGTTTACGTTTATTTTTTGACCGTTTTCTTCGACCAGTGTTCCGTGCAAGATTCTAAATGGCAAAGAAAAAGTTTCTTTATATGAATATAGAGTTCTTTATTTTCTATTCAAAAGAATGTTAATGATAATTGTATTAGTACTTGTCCGATTTGTTCTCCATTTTGATCTTCATTATCATTATCTGCACGGATGATATTCTCACACGTAGGCTTTCTAGTGTTATTCATAAGTCGTTTTTGTTCTTGACGACGTATTCTTCGTCGCTTATGTTGTTCTTTTCGATTACCATGACTTTTTTTCTTCTTCATCTTCTTCTGCTGCTGCTGCTGCTGCTGTCCTCTGATATTGTAAGCGATAGACTGGTTTTGTTGCCCAGTCAACACTTGTGTGGGTGAAAGTGTTTCATACCAACGACCTTGTGCATCTTGACTAGGAGTTTTCAATGTTCTTTCAAACTTCTTCGGTATCTCTCGATTCATGACGATGAGAGAGAGAGAGAGAGAGAGAGAGAGAGAGAGAGAGAGAGAGAAAGTGAGAATAAACTTTTCTTTTCGTAGGAATCTGATTAATGAAAATCGAATCACTACTTCTCAATGTTCGATACGGAATGAGGAAATCAAATATCTAAAATAAAAGTCAATATACAAGTGTCATTCAATGGTTTAGCTACAATGTATGCAAGAAAATAAAAAACAAAAACATCAATATTCATCTACATCCTTATTTATATCACTGTTAGGCGTATCTTCTATATTTTTACTGCTGACAATCTTATTATTATTGTCGTTATTGCCATTGATGATGGCTTTACTCTTGCTACTGTAGTTGTTATAATTTGCATTGTAACATCTTTGATTCAACACATTTTGAAATTGAATACGTTGTATGATTGTTGACTAACTTGACTAGGCGTTTTTCCTACTTCTTCGTTCTTGTCTGCACTCCTATTGATCACTATTATATACATCTAGAATAAACAAAAGCAAAGAAAAAAAAAAAAAAAGAAAAAAGAATAAGTTCGAATAAAATGAGAGTACAATAGTAACTATCATAGTGAGATATATAATCAAACAAAAAGAAATGAAAACAAAATACAATAATCATGTCTATTTGATGTTTTCAGACTAGTTCAATATTGAAAGAAGATACTTGTGAACATATAAAAACAAAACAAATATGTTTGTCGTCCAATAGCATATTTCTAGTCATATACGTCAAAATAAATACATTTGATCATCATTGTCTAAATTATTACTACTCGGATTATCATCAACACTCTCATTAATAAAATTGTATTCTTTCGGATTGAATAATGTTTGTTTTAAAAAATCATCATTAATTTGAAAACATTGTTTTAATGTTCTTTGTCGACTTTCAATGATATTCATCAATAAACGAGTCTTGCATGGAGAATTGTTTATGGATGATAAATTTTGTTGTTGTTGACTGAGATCAAGAAAAATTTTCTTGTCCTTTTCTATATTATCCGTAATCGTATGGATCGTACTTATTATACCGAGAATTTTGGATTCTGCTAAACTTGATGAAAATGGGAGTTTCATTAACGATCGTGATAAACTAGTAGTGTGAATGATGTCCTTGTAATTCAGTAGTACTTCTAAACGACAGAGATGCTTTTCATCATGATTTAACGTGTCTGATTTTGAAAAAGAAAATAAAAAACCTTACCTTTCTTTCTTTCTTCTTCTCGAATAGTTGCCTCCCATATACTTCTAGCTAAACTTATCTAAATAGAAAGAGAATAAGATTCACAGTAGTGTTCATAGAAGACTACTATTAAAGCCCTTACTTGTATTGAACTTGGTTTCAAATCAAAGAATTCTTTCACCAGACGAACATCATCTGCCTTTAATAATAATAATCCCATTTTTTGTTGTAAATCATCATGTATGTCTCGATAATCTTGTCGTACGAATGTAATAATATAAGCTTTTAGTAGAGTCATGTCCATAACAGATGATCCTGAGATAGCGTCTTCATTTCGAATACAGTTGATGAGTTTAGTCATGGCTTTACTCAATCTTTGTTTAGTAATTCTTAACTGATATCTGATGTACTTTTCAGTTTCAGAAAAATTTTCATCAATATTATCTTCTTTCATTCTCATTTTGGGCCAATGTGATAACCAAAGATATTCTGATTGTGTCCTATTAATATAACTTTTATAGGAATCTAATTCCATTTTTAAACAATAGACATGAGCAATATTACAAGTATATTTTCGTATAAATTCTAATAATGTCATATCGATTTCTAACCATTCCTTGACAAATGTTTGACGACGTTGATCTTGACTAGTAACCTTAAAGAGTCGTTCTTTGAATTCAACATTGGACATATTACAGTAGCCACATTTGAATGTTGTTTCGATATCGGTATGAAGCATAGTTGTCGTCGTGTGATTACTATCATCGTTTCGTTGTTCCTGATTAAAAAAAAATTTATAAAAATAGCACAATAATAAAATCTTATCGGTTTATCAAGTGATGATCATACTTTTTCGTTGTGTTTTTCTTTATTTTGCTGTTCTACCGATTTCATCTTATCGATGTTCAATGAATTATTTTGCTTCATTAGAAAGATGAGATTAACTAATGGATTACTCAAATTAAAGTAATAATGATCATGACAATACGATATAGATTGATATCTCCCTC